ACATGGTTCATAACAACACCCGTGACAAATTTCACAGACAGGCAGTGGCCTTCCCGCTGGCTGCACAGGGCGATCACGTGAGCAGCGTTAACGCCCTTTGCCAGACGTCTGTTCCAGCAAAGAAAAGTCACGACCAGGCAGTAAATCTTAGTGAGAGGAGATTATCTGCCTTTCTTCCTTGGAGCAGCTGGAGGGTTCGAACCCCACATCCTTTTGTTTAGCAGTACAACTCACTACAGGTTACGCCATGAGAGCTGCTCCTATTTTCAGCAACTGGGAAGTTTTGGTCAGCTTGTGGTCCAAGCTTTTACGGCAGTTTTTTCCCAGTTCAACCCACTGCTGAGCACATGCACTTCCACACCAGACGGAGGGAATATATTCTTGTATACGTAAGGATCACCTAGGGATTTGCACTTTTTCAGCAGTTGACTGAGAATGTTTTAAGGATTCCCTGGCTCCATCTCACCATCTAAATGGAGAAGGTGCATGCCCAGGGGCCTTTGCCATGAGCTCACTGAATCAGAGGCAAGCCAGCACTGGAAGAACCTGGTTGAGAAACACCCTGGCTACTGGCCTGCCTGCTGCTGTTTTGTGCTGTCAAATTGGAACCATTCATAGCTGACCCTCCAGCAGGCTTTCAGAGGCTGTAAATGGCACAGGAGGAGAACGCCCATCACTAGACCACCAATACGCCCTGTCCTGCCTGCGGTCAGGGTCTTTGGAGAAGGTAAGTGGTTTAAGAGCATCACTGGCTTGGTAACCTTGTTCATCTGTAAGCTGCTCTCCTCACAGGGTCCTAAGATGCACTTAAAGATCATGGGAGGAAAACCCAGTGAGACAGTCCTGCTTTGGCACTTGGGTCACTGGAATTTAATCAATTCAACAGACCCACCCCCATATATCTACATAAGCTATTGATGGTCGTGGAGGATGGAGAATATGGTTATAGCAATCTATAGGTGGAACAGATCATTGTGGGGGGGCGGGGCTTCATGAGGAGGAGTGTTGCATCAGGACTGGAGAAAGACTCATCAGCAACATGCATTATGAAGATGACCCAACCTTGTTTGCCGAAACTGAGGAGGACCTAAGCCATTTGTTGCAGAAGGTCAAGGACTGCAGCCTTCAATTTGTATTGAAGCTCAACATCAAGAAAACAAAGATTTTAAAAAAAAAAAGAAAACAAAGATTCTCATCACTGGGTCAACTGGCAGCACCATGATAGGTGGAGAAAAGATTGAGACTTACAAACTTCAGCTTTTTTGTCTCCATAATCAACACTCTTGATACAAGCAGTAAGGAAATCAAAAGATGAATTACACTGGGAAAACCTGCTGTCTGAGACCTCTCTAGAATGCTAAAAGGCAACAATGTCAGTATAGAGACTAAAGTGCACCTGATCCAGGCCATGTTGTTGTTAAGTGCCATCGAGTCGCAGGGGACTCATAGTGACCCTGTGAAGGAGAGTCCTCGATACTTGGGTGCCTTTCATCCTCTCTCCAAGTTCATAGGGTTTCTGGAGGCAAGCTATTATGGAAGTGGATGCCACTCCTCCTTCCACGCTTGTTTAATCAGGGAGCTACACCCCCCCACTCTCAGTCTGCACTGGGTAGCCAACCGTTAATGCATTTGACACATCCGTGTCACATTGTTCAGCCTCACAGCAACCACAATTGACCCTGGGAAGGCAACTTGCACACCAGAGCTATATGACCTAGAGGAATGTCTGAACAAAAACAATGAAAGACTGGCCAGAGGGCCACAAACTAAAAGTCACCCACCTTTGTCTTGGTCACACCGTTTTCTCTTCACTGGGCCAGCTGATCTCTCTCTCTCTCTGTTGAGAGAGGCCGCTCCACCTTCAACCCAAGGCCAAGCGTGGCCTCCCTGGCTCTTGGAGGCAGTTGCCTTTCTCCAGAGACCGCCACAACACAACACAACTCCCACGTACACAGCATCAATGCTTTCTGGCCAAAGGATCACAATCACCCTGGGTGGGGCAAACCTGGGCAATTATGGCCGTCTCCTCCCTCCTCCTCTTCTCCTTTTGGGCTTGAAGCCACTGGTGCCTTCAAGCCAAGGCCAAGTGTGGCTTCCCTGGCTCTTGGAGGCAGAGTCGCCTTTCTCCAGAGACCGCCACAACACATAGTCTTCACAATTACTTGTATCAATCCTTTTGTGTTGTGGTGTTGGAGAACACCAAGAGAACAAAGAGGTCTTTATTGGAGAGGTCATCTTAGCCTAATACTCTCTTCAAGGACAATTTGGACTCAGACACAGGAATTATGGGGCTCCACTGGTACAGGCAGAAGTGGCTTCAAAGTCCTGCCTTCCCTGGGATCTGAATGAATTCAGGCATGATGCTGTGGCTTTCTTACCTCATTTTATTTCTAATGTCTCCCTAGCTTTGCCTTGGAAATGACAACGCAAAAGGGCCTGGGTCCCTTATCTAACATTTGGATCTGAGGAAACTGAGGCACAGGAGTTGAACAGCTTACAAAAATCATATGGCATTGGTAGAGAGGCTGAGACCAAAACCAAGGCAGTGTGCTCCAGAGCCATGCCCCTGGTCCTCCTGCCATGTCATTATACTCGAGGCTGTTTCTGCTGGAATAATTATAGAGCCAAGTGCCAAAATGTGTCCCTGCCTAAACAGGTATTTCCAAAGAAAATATTTTCTGATTCAGTTTGCAGACTCTTTCCTTCTCCTGTTGCTCTAACAAGTTGGGAGAATTTCATCTGACAACCTCAAGCCTGCCAACAGTGGGATACCTCAGCTCCAGCCAGCCAGGACGGGGGAACTCAGAGATATCCAAATGTACTGGGCTGCAGACTGAAAGGTCTGTGGTTTGAATCTACCAGCTGCTCCTTGAGAAGATGATAAGCAGTTTGTGCCCATTAAGATTTGGAGCCTCAGAAACCCAACGGAGGACTGAAACGAGTCACTGTCGACAGTTGACAGTGGGCTCGTGTTTGGATTTGGAGTTTTCCTTTATAATCACAGAGACACCATGCCATGAGGTGGAAGGAAATAGCCAAATCCAGGTTCCTATCTGGATGAAATGATAAAACAAAAAAGAGAGAGAGAGAGAGAGAGAGAAAGGTAGCTTTGTGGCCAGCAGCTCTATAGGTAATAATTACTCTCCTCAAAGGAGAAAACGTATCCTATTTTGCAGTTATAAAATTAGTTTACTGAAGAAATTGTATAGCAACATGAGGCCCAAACATTTTCCATTTAGCGTTCTTTTTTTCATTTATTAAAAATTGTCAGTTTGAGGACTAAGATGCATCTGATTCAGGCATGGTCTTTCCTATCACTTGCTATGCATCTGAGAGCTGGACAATGAATAGGGATGACAGAAGAAGAATTGATGCCTTTGAGCTGCAGTTTTGGAGAACAGCACTGAACATCCTATGGATGTTCTTGGAGAGGGTGCAGCCAGAGTGCTCTTTGAAGGCAAGAATGATGAGGTTTCACCTCACATACTTTGGGTATGTTGCTACAAGGGGCTATTACTTGGAGTGGGACATGATTTGGGGAAGGGTGGAAGGTCAGCGAAGAAGAGAAAGACCCTTGACCAGGTGGACTGACATGGTTGACAGGCATGTGTGACACTTGTCTGGAAGTGTGAGGATGGTGCAGGACAAGACAGGCTTCAGATCTGTTGCTCATAATGTCGCTATGAGCCAAACTCGATAGTATCTAACAACAGCAACAACACATTCAAGAAATTTCTCAGAAGTGTGAGCCTTTATTTTCTTTTGCTTTAAATATATAACCACAGAAATTATTACTGTGTAGAAGAATAAAAGGAGATTCATAAACCAGAAACATATTCTCTAGAAACCAACTATTAAATGACTTGGTTAAGCCTTATCAACTTCATTGGTAAAGTCCTAGAGTAAGGCAGGGACCAAGTAGGGTTGATTATCTCTCACTCTCTCTCTCTCTCACACACACACAATATCTCTCTCTCTCTTGACAGGCAGTGGGAGCAGTCTTTGAAGCCTTCAGCATAAGTCAGCCTGGCCAAGTCACCTCAGAAAGATGGATGCTGCTCTTGGAAGGCCACTGTGCAAAGCAGCATGAACTGTTTTTGTGGGCTCATTATTTGAGAACCAACAGAAACAAGGGTAGGATCTAAAGGAAGAAATGTGCTACAACAGACTGACCAGACACTAAGAACTCCAGTGGGAGTTGGTGAAAATGACTGCCTGCTCAAAGCACAGGTGCCAAGGCAGGCCCGAGACAAGAGGCCATCAGGACGTGGGCATTTTCCTGAGGATGACACTGTACAGAGTGTTATATAACTTTGTGTTGAAATCTTCTGGGTATATGGCATCAGGAGATTTGATACCAGCTCCCAAAACCTCAGAAACACTTCAGCACCAACCATCACTACCCAGCCCGAGTCCTTAAGGTAGATATCATAGTGAAAAGGTAAAAAAAGAACCAGAGAAGAGATGAGACAAATGCTACACATTTCCAGTGGGCGTCACCATGTGCTTCTCCCTGGAATGTGTCTACGAACTTCAGCAGCAGCAAGTCCACCTGGCTGGCTAGAGGTGGTGAGAGGCTCTTTGTCGCTAAGAGTTCTGTTGGCAAATTGGAGAGAGGTTTCCTTCGGTGTCCAAGGTCTCACTTTGCAGCAAAACTCTGGCTTGCTGTTAGAAATGGCTTTATGCTACTCAATAAGGAGCTGGTAAATAAGGAATAATAGGAATTGTCGTTCCTTGTGAAATGGTCTTGCAAATGACGAGGAATTCTGTTGCATTCGGTTGCATTTCCAAGAAACGGTCTGACTCTGGGGCACCTATTAGAAGCAGAAGCCTCAAGGAAATGAGGATGAGGGTGAATATACTTTGAGGAGTTAGATTCATTTCTGATACAGAATAATCAAGAAAGGGAGTACGTGCTACAGCCTGGGGTTCCATGTAACAGTGTGGGAACCAGCTACTCGTCTCCTTGGCCATGCGTGTTTCCCATGTGCCCCTCCTGGCTACATCCTGCAGAGCTTCAGCGGGAAGTTCTCTGTGATGAGGTGATCAGGATGGAGAAGCACGACAATGTTCACCTCAAATTCTGAAAAGAGCAGAGAAAGAGGCTTTATTCTCACTTGTACCAAACTCCAGCTCAGCTAAACCAAGAAAAGCATCCCCATCAAGTCCAACTCCTAGGAACCTACACGGCAGAGCAGAACTGCCCCTCACCCCACCCCCAGGGTCTCCCAGGCGGCCACTTCCAAGGGAACAGGCTACCAGGCCTTCGCCCCCGTGCAGCTGCTGGTGGGCTGGGACCACTAACTTTCTGGTTCACAGACAAGTGCTTAATCATTGCACCACCAGTGCTCCTCAGAAAGCCCACGAGACAGTTCTATTGCTGTGATCCAATCAACTGCAGAAGCAGTAAGTTCTAGAAAGGGATGCGTACCCTTTGGGGTTTCTGTATTTATGTCCCAAACAATGTTACCCTACATATTCAAGGAAACCGGTCAAGAAGACCATCCTAGCATCTGATCACCTTTTGTAAACTTTCTCCAGCTCGGTTCCTATCCTCTCATCTTGAAGCAGTGAGCCATCAGGCTTCCCAAACCCTACTTCCTTGTCCTTTGTGTTCACTAAAGAGAATCTTGTGGCTTCTTTCACTTCATTTATGCGGGCCTGCAGCTGTCTGTGCCATGTCTCGCACTCCACGTAAGAAACACTCTTCACAGCACACAGCGCACTTGGCGGGCCCGATACCAGACCCGCCTGCTGTCACGGTCACTCAACTCCACAGAACAAAGGTGGGGCAGGCTGCTCTTACTAAGATTTACTATCCTTCGGGTTTCTAATGCTCTAACTCTTAACTAAAGCAGACTGCCGCATCTTTCTCCTGTGGAGTGGCTGGTGGGTCCAAACCACTGACCTTCTGGTTAGCAGCTGAACACCTAAAACTATGTCACCAGATCTCCTTGCTCCTTCACATACTAACTGAATGAAAACATTTATTTCAACCTGCTTCTCATACCTTTCAACAAACAAGGAGTTTCCCTCACTATCTTTTTAGATATGTAAGCTTTGATAATCCCAAAACAAAACAGTGTATGTAGAGAGCTCTCTGAAGAAAACACAACCATTTTCTTCCCCATTATGAAGAGGCAGACTAATGGGACAAGAAGCAGCTGGGAGCACTGGGTTGCAGAGCTCAGCTTTGGTGGGGCTTTGGGGCTGCATCACTCAGTGCTGTCCCCGAAGCTGGAGTTCTAGCTCTAATCTCCTATATGTGGCACAAGCATCAGCTGGACAGGTGCCCCAAACATGCCAGCTTGGCTGCTTCCCTGCCTCTGATGATTATCACGATACCAGAAGGTTCCACCGGGCTCTTCAACCACATTCTCTTGCACTGTTCCTCTACCTATCTAGCTGTTCTCCCCTTGGGAAGGACCAGGGTAATCTGGAGAGGAAAAAAGATGCCCAGCAGCACAGAGGCCGTATTCCAGGGATGGCATGTGAATTCACTGCAATTAGCAGAACAAAGGTGAAGTGTCAGAGCACACATGCACTGCTACTGCTGACAAGGGAACCAGCACTGTGACACAGCTCAGTTCTGCTCTGACACATGTGAGGGGGCCATGAATCATCTATTCGACACCAACATTGCTTTAAATAACAGAAGCCCCATTTCCCATATGCTTACCAACACACTTCAGGCAAGACTCAAAGGAGTGTCCCAGGAAAGTCTGGGTGTACTCCTTTTGCAATCTTTTCAACCAGTGAAGAGAACATCACGTCAGTGTGGGATGAGGTCATGTGTGGCCCTTTCCTGTCCTGCTCCTTCATAGTGTGCGGCTATTTGTCAACTGAACTCCATAAACACAATAGCTCTTATTAGGATGGATGTACCATGAAAACATTTTGTGAGAACATTTAAAAACTACCTAACGTGTGTTTGAATTGTTTCATTTAAATTAAATAATGTTATAGAGACAAAAGTTGGGATATGAAACTGTGTATCCTGATTCAGACTCTGTGGTCAGTGTATATATACACATATATTCATGAGGAAAGACTAGATATACATCCTGAACTAGAAGAGCCAAAGTCTTCATGAGACTGAATGATCACACTTAATTTTCTCACATTTCAACCTCTGTCATGAGTCTACCCAAGGCCTCACCTCTATCTGTGCCCTCTGTTCTCTATCCCTTATACTCATCAGTTTTCTACATTGTTCTCATCACCACCTGATCTATTTCATAGCTGAGTGTTACTGCATCTACCAAATCTCCCTCCTCTTACAGTTTAAGTTCCATCTGAGAGGGAGCTTGTTCCAGAATGTTCACTGCTGCACCTGTGACACAGGTACAGCACCTCTTCCCAGCAAGTGCAGAGTGACTCTGAGCTCAAGCTGACCCCAAAAGACTGCAGGCCCAACTGTCCCCCAAACCTAGGCGGTGTCCCCGTGGCCATATCCTTCCCCAGGAGAATTCTGACAGGCCTCTGAAGGCTGGAGAGGGAGCATGGCTTACCCACTTTGAAGTTGGTGGTCTCCAGTGTAGGGCAAGTGAACAGCCTGGGGAAAACCATGTGTATAGGAACAGAGAGGCTCCGGCAAATATCCCCATCGGCAATCTGGATGTTCTGAATTTCTGTGGCATCTCGTGCATAGCCTTCTGCACATCCTGGAGAAAGTAAACACCATGTGGTCAGAAAAGGTCAAATGTCAACACAAGCTAACCAGACTCTCTATAAGAAACTGCAGCAACACATGCCCACGCCTGTGTCCAGCACGTGCCACAGGATTTGGGTATTCCCTCCCTCCCACATTTCTTTTTTTAAAATTGTTTTACTTCTACATTTATCCATTTTGCAATACACCATTATATGTATGACAACAATCTTTTCCTGATTGTTTTCATTCATATAATACCTAATTATATATTCCTTTCAGACAATTCTTCCCCTCATCTGTTCCACTGTAGAATTCATTATCTATTTTTCTACTCTCTCCCCAACCCCAAATGCCAGTTCTGTTTTATAATAGTGGTGTTATGCAGTGTTCGTCCTTTTGTAATTGAGATATTTCACTCAGCACAATGTCCTCCATGTTCACCCATATTGTTTAACGCTTTACAAGTTCACTGTTTTTCAATGCTGCATAACATTCCATTGTGTGAATATACTATAGCTTTCCTATCCATTTGTTTATTGAAGGGCACTTAGGTTGCTTCAATCTCTTTGTTATTGTGAATAATGTAGCAATAAACATGTATGTGCACACATCTATTTTGAGTCACAGCTCTGGTTTCTTTAGTGTATATTCCCAGTTGTGGAAATGCTGGGTCAAAGGATATTTCTATTACCAACTTTTTGAGAAAGTGTCAGATTGTCTTCCACAGTGGTTTTAATATTTTACATTCTCAGCATCACTGAATAAGAGTTCCAATCTCTCCACAACCTCACCAACATTTGTCTGCTCTCCTACTGAACTTTGTTGTTATTGCTGGGGTGCCCTCCCTTCCACATTTCATGTTCCTTAAACATGTATTTACTTGAGTCAAGAGATGCATTCTTATTTTTGCTGCTATCCACATCATTTAGTCACTGAACACACCAGAGTTATAGACAGAAAAGCTTGTAGCTAGCTGAGTGTTCCTACTGCAGATCTCTATCCCTCCCACAGGCCTCCACATGGACCAGCTGAGGTTCAGGGGCCCCTCCCACAGGCCTCCACATGGACCTGCCGAGGGTCAGGGATTCCTACCACAGGTCTCCACTCGGACCAGCTGCAGCTCTATGCTCTTGATGGCCACGTCTGAGTGCTCAACCACCAGCTCTCCTGTCAGTGGCTGTGTGATAACACAGTTGGTTGAGTTGAGATGTCCTCTAATAAGAAATTTAGGCAGCAAGGCTCTCTAAAAAAAAGACAAATACATCAGGAATTGAAGGAATAAGGAAAAAATTACTTCATTATTTTGATACAACTAAAATCTAAAGTTGGTAATTGTTACAAAATATGCAATCTTGTTTTGCAAACTGAGGGGAAAAAAGAGCAATGATACTTACATCTCCTTCCAAAATGTGTTTGTTTGTTGTTGTTTTTTCAAATTGTGTTTTAACAGGCTGAATCTTTCAACTACTATATACCACTATTCCATCTTTCAACCTGTCATACTGTGGTGGCTGGCCTGATGCTCTGAGGGTAGAAACTTTACCACTGTTTGAAACACCATCCAGCAGTTACCAATGGTGGACAGTCTTCAGTGGAGCTTTTAGTCTAAGTCAGAAGAGGAAGAAAGGCCTGGCAATCTACTTCAAAAAGTCATCCAATAGTTTCTTATCTGACACAATGATGGATGCTGAGCCCCTAAGTTAAAAGGCACTCAAAAGTCATAGACACTACAATGATAGGCTGAAGCTCACATTGTGTAGGGGGTGCAGAACTGAGTGATGCTTGGTTTAGGAGGTCATCATGACTGGCACTGACTTGATGGCAACTAACAACAACATATATGCTTGAGACACTAAACTGAGAGAGCAGACAGCTCACAGGGCCATCTTAATTGCCTGGAGTCAGAACTGGAAGCTTCTCATCAACTGAGAAGATAAAAACATGCACACTCATGTTTATCGTGGCTTTGTTCACAATAGCAAAGAGCTGGAAACAACCTAAGTGCCCATCAACAAACAAATGGATAGAGAAGCTGTGGTATATTCACACAATGGAATACTACACTGCATTGAAAAACAATGGGTAGCCCTGAAGGACCTTATGCTGAGTGAAATATCTCAGTCATAAAAGGACAAATACTGCATAGTGCCACTGTTGTAAAACGGGACTTACATCAAGATTGGGAGGAAACTGAGAAAGATGGGATAAGTTATGTATACTGCATGAAACAAATAAGGAAGAGAACTGTTTAAAAGGGATATATGATTAGGTATACTTTTCATGACAGGAGTCCAGAACGAAGGCTGCATAATGGAGTGGACTTGGGGGGAGGGATTGTATAACCATGACAGAATTTTTCATTTACTTTTTAAAAAGAAGAGCAAACTGGGGAGGATATTGGGCAGGGAGCGAAGCGCAACAATGAATGAATGGAAATCCAAAGTCTCTGTAAACTTTCATTAAAATTAATTAAAAAAAGAAAGAGTAAGCCAAACACAAGTTCTGTGAATTAATGACTTTCTTGGTTTTTGTTATTATTTCTATATCATTTATGTCTGTGTCTACTACATATAAAACTGGCAATGATGTTTATATTTTAAAAATTCATTGAATAAATTGTCTTGCTTGGTTATGATGTTGTAAGATAAAACAACGTAAAACTTGTGATCTTTACTTTTTCAGTTTGAATCCTTATGTATCTCAATTACATCTTTCTTAAATTATTTTAGTATCTATAAAGTGGACTACGAGAACTAAAAAAAAAATGTATCAAGAAGTTGCCAAGTATAGACAATCAGTCACTAAAAGAATTTTTAAGAGACTGAAAAACAGTAATAAATTTAAAATTCCAATTATGTAATAATGAAAAACCAAAAGGACATTTAAAAGGAACCATTTTCCTGAATATTGGACTGAAAACTTAGAGACTTAAATCTGTGTATTTAAGAAACTGGTCAGTAGTGATTGATGGGCTTGTGAAAAAACTGGATCTAAAGACTTTAATGGTGCAGTTCTAGCAGCATCTACCTTGGGTTGTTTCCCAGGTGCTAAAGACAATTCAGAGCTTACAACACCACTGTGCAACAGAAATGTAATGCAAGCCACAAATGTGAACCATGCAGGTAATTTTCCAATAGCCAAGTTTAAAAATTTAAAAAAGCAATCAAAACAACTATGAGATATCA